CTCTCTCTCTCTCTCTCTCTCTCTCTCTCTCTCTCTCTCTCCTTATAAATTATTTCACACTTTATTTTAATAGTTAAATTTACTACCGACTTGTATTTTATTTCACTGTATTATTTATTAAAATGTTTATATATTAGATATATTATATTTATGTATTTATATTAACATGAATTTGTTACAGCGTTTAAGAATTTATAATTAATTTAAATTATTGAAAAGTTTAATAATTTCAGTTATTCCAGTTGTCCCTGTTAATGCAGTTTGTCTTGTCAATCATTTCTCATACTTTCCACCCATTTATCTGATATTAAATTGTAGTGAAATAACCAGGATATAATTTATAATCTACATTAGATTTCTGTTATTATAAGTTTCTATTGTTAAATTATGTAAAAAGTGTTTAAAAATTAAATTTATGACAATAGAAATTTGTACTGTATAAGAAATGTGCATAATATTTTCATTTATTTATTACACAGATTTGTTTTAAGTAAACATTACTTTCGTTAATATCAAAGTATTTAACGAAACAGTAAAATGATTGCAAATAAACAATACAAATGTAATAATATAGTAAAAAGTTTCATAATGATTGTGAAATATCTATTTCAAACTGAAAACATTTATTTTCCGAAAAGTGATGAAATTTACTTGACTTAAAGAAACCATTTCTTGAAACTCTTGGAAAAGCTTTAAATAGCAGTGAGAATAATAGGTAAACCGGTTGGCACTGGTATTTTTCAGTACCCAAACTGGACTATCCAATTCAGCTATACCTGTGTTTTGCTCATAACAATACCTCTCCCCTCCCTGTTATGCAGACTTGTATTATGTATACCACAGAAGTCTAGTGGTTCTAATAAAGAGCCGGATAGTTTTGCTAGAATTAAACTATATATGGCATTATATAAACCTGGTGAATTTTGTTGGCACATTAATTAAGATCAATTGATTAAAATTACTGAATTAATTATATAATGTAATATAGCTATTGTAAGAAATGTTTGCAATTATTAATTGCCAATTAATTACAAACTAAATAATTTTGCTTGGGTATTCATTGAATGTATGTATAAATATAAAGTAAATTTAACACTAAATAGTTTATTTGTCAAGAATTTGCGTTTCTTAAGAATAATAAAACTGTTTTATTACCGCAATTGAAAGTTTGCATATTAACTATAAACTTATTGTCAAATGTCTCGTTAATAAAGCCTAGAAATAAATAATTTGAAATCAACAATGTCTGGGTCTAAAAATAAATTCATGAAATTATGGAAAAAACTAAATATTCATACAAAACTATTATTCCCGCGTTACACCAATGGATTACAAAATCATTTCAATGATGGAAATACTACTTGAAAAGTAATGGTCACTAGAGATAAGCCATTGATAGGCACACTGTCTGTCAAGGGGTGAGTCACATATTACGTTCGCACTTTTTAAGAAATTTAGACCCCCTCCCCCCCCCTATGTTCGCAATTGTTCGCATGTAGTCATTTTACAAAATTACGTTCGC